CTCAGAGGAGCAGAACTTACCAGCCCTACTGCTGGCCAGCAGTCCCTGAAGGAGCCTACCAGCTCCAGCCATGAGATTCATAACCTGGACTTCAAAATCTCTGTTCCCAGCTGGGGAGCCCTTAGAAAATCTGGTGTCCTGCTTGTGTTTGGTGATGTGCTGCTGCCCTTTAATACTCAGCCCACATGGTGACAGCCTCTGCCACGTGTCCTTATGCAGCAGCTACAGCACAGCCACAGCAAACCCAACCTGCACAGCTCAAGCTGCAATATGTTTGGGACAAGCGAGTCCAGAGCCACACAGGGTGTGCAATCCTCCCACTTGTAGAGAGCCTTGTGTGGAACTGGATGGTCCTGGACTGTCCCAGGGCCCTACGTGTCCAGGCTCTGGCTGCAGGATTGTTAGTAGTGTGCTGGTGCATGGGCTGGCTGCTGCCTTTCTGCCCCTGATCAGACACACGCTGCTCTCAGGTGAATGTTTCCACAGCTCAAAATGTATTGATTCAGATGTTGCTTCTCCTGGAAATTCTCCCCAGGAGCTGTGCAGGGAGACAGGCCACAAAGGGATGCTCCCAGCCCCAGAAACCCGTGGGGCTGCGGCCAGCATCAACGGGGCCCTTTGTTCCCGGCGTTCCCAGATGCCACCACCCTCCTCTCCCCGTGCTGAAAGGGCCCTGTGTGTACACAAGCAGCCACTGGGCAGGAGCGAGCTGGGGAACAAAACACCATCTTTTTCCCCTGGAGGAGACTGGTGCCCCCCCGGCCGCGGTGAGGGCTGGGGACAGCAGTGCGAGTGGTGTGTGAAAGCAGCAGGCATGGCAGGGGGACCGGCCGGGTCCGAGGGCTGAAGGACACATAAAGCCTCCTCAGGTGTGCCCTTGGCTGTGCCGGCTGCCACCTCCACCTGGGGACACGGGTCCTGCCCTCACAGCTCCTTTCCTGGGCACGCAGTGCCCTCCGGGAACTGGCTGAGAAAAGACAGGGAATAAATAAACTCTGCCTCGTACCAAAGCACATCTCTGTAAAGCCCATCGGGAGAACTCCAAGGAGGAGCCTAATGGCTGAAGTGTGGCTGCACTTTGCTCCCGCAAAGGCTGGACCAGAGAAAGAGACCATGGAGCAGGTCCCATGGGCTGCCTTGCTGGCAAAAGGGGAGGTGACTCCCACCCCTCCATCCTCCGGGAGATGGCCCTGCGCGCCCTTGGGAGGGGAGGGGATGGCGGCGCCCAGGGGTGCTGGTGATGACCACGGGTCCCCAGCCCTCCACTCAGGCGGCCCCCAAGGGCGAAGAACCGCCAGGCTGATGCTCCTCCCGGCCGCCCCCGCATCCCCGGTCCCGCGGTCCCGCATCCCCGGTCCCGCGGCCCCGCATCCCCGGTCCTGCGGCCCCGCATCCCCGGTCCTGCGGCCCCGCATCCCCGGTCCTGCGGCTCCTCCCCGCGGCCGCCGGACGCAGCGGCGGCTGCCCGGGCAGGGGACAAGGCGGGGGCGAGCCCCTGCTCCCCCCGCAGCCACGGTCCCCCCACCTGCGCTGACAGTTGGCAGAGGGGACAGAGGGGACAGAGGGCACAGCAACTCCCCCAGCCTGGTCCTGACTTCAGTTCAGGCAGGGAAAGGGCTGTGAGGGGTGAGCTGTGCCTGGCAAGCAGTCCTGCCTGCCAGGGCATGGCATGGTGCTGTCACCCCTGCCCTGGAGGAAATCCTCACCTGCCACCTCTCAGGCACCCAGTTGCTTTCTCTCCATCTCTGTGCACAGTGTGGCTATACCAGGGAATTGCCTGAATACTGGGAGGGAATACTTGGTGGGAACTCATAAGATCACAGAATGGTAGAATGGCCTGTGTTGGAAGGGACCTTTAAGATCACCTGGTTCCAACTCCCCTGCCACAGGCAGGGGCAGCTTCCACTTGACCAGGTTGCTCAGAGCTCCATCCAGCCTGAACCTGAACATTTCCAGGCACAAGGCATCCACAGCTTCTCTGTTCCAGGAGTGGAATAGCCTCACCCAAACCCTGCGATGCCTCCAAGGCCAGAATCATCTCCCTCTGGATCCTGTTAACTGTCTGTTTTCAGCTGTCTTTTGAAAGGGATGAAGTAAAGGGCTGGAGGACCCCAGATACTCCAGTCCACACTTCAAAGCATGATTTCCAAGGACTTTGGACCCTACACTGCCTCCTGGAATCATGGATAGGCAAGAACAGTGAGGAAAATAAACTAAAAGGTTCTGCCAAAAGAAACAGCAGGCACAGGCTCTGCAAACACAGAGAAAACCTCCCAAAATAAGCAGCCATCCTGGCAGGACAGTGGACGAGAACAGTCCCCATATGCTGACTTCCTTCTTGGCATCCTATGGAAATCATGCCTGGTTACAGCCCCCTGGAGCCTGAGGGATCAGTTCCAAGATCACAGGAAGAACTCAAAGGAAAGTACTGGGCTTGCTGCTGAGAGCCCAGGCTGAGATTTTTAAATGTAGTGACAGAAGGAAGCAATGTGGAATGTTTCTGTTATGAAAGTGTTTTCTGATACACTCTTGAAAAGGCAAACCTGGTCATTGGATTCAGCTCGTGAGTTCTATTCCTTCAGCTCCTGGTCTAGCTTGGCACACTGAGGAATAACCAAGCCCTCTGATCCCTGATCCCTTAGTGACTTCCCTCTGCCCAACAGACTTTTGCAGAGCCTTCAGTTCTCTTAATACTTTGAGCTCACATAAGGAGAAAAAGCTACATGTTTTTCCCCAAGAGAATTCTTTTAATTTAGTGAGGAAATAGGCATTTTGGCAAAAGTAACACACAACCAAGGCAGAAGCATTTCACTAAGCAGCCCCAGTGCGTCGGGGCTGGAGAAGCCCTGGTGTTCCCTCAGCTCTTGGGATGTGCCCTGGAGGATGCTGAGCTGTGGGAAGGGCCCCCATCTCATAGCTGCATTTTTGTGCTGCCTTTGCAGCATTCGCAGGTGGGCTGGTGAGACAGGGGTGAGATTAAACACATGGCTGGAGCCAGCGTGGGGAGGAGGTGTGAGATTTTCCTTGAAGCTTGTAGACTACAGAAAACATGTCATCTCTGTCATTCATGATCAAAAGAAATCTGTATTTTTAGGATGCTGATGCCTGAAAATAAATCTGTTGCTTTGAAAGGAGGGACAGAGGGTAAAAGAAAAGTTATTCCTTTCCTTCCACCTCTGCCCTTGAGCAGGAGCTGATAAAATCCAAAGGCAGGAGATCACACTCCACTCCAGCTTTGCCCAGGAGCCGTGTGCATGAAATATTAAACACTGGGGTTGGAGTAGGTAAAGCAGGAATAATCAGATGAGTAGTTAAAGGTTTGGTATCCTCTGGGAACAAGAGTGATTGATGAGCCTTGAAAAAATAAATAACGCGGCCTTTTAGGTCTATGTAGCCATTTTAAACTGGGATAATTTGGAGGAAATTAAAAGTGGGGTAAATTGTAGCAGTTTTTAGCTTGTGGTTGAGGCGTGAGGGGATGATGCAGCCCTGCAGAGCTGATCTGTTTCAACTGGCAACCTGGGCAAAGGGTTTGCTCCTCTGGGAGAGTGGAGGTGGATCAGAAGGATCCAGGTGCAGCTGAATTGCACATCTGGGAAGCACAGGACCTGTATGAGGGCAAAATTGGTTTGGTGTAGGGCTCCAAGGAGGTGCTCCCAGGTTCTCCACTCTCTGCCCACAGCCCAGGCAACACGTGCACTACAATTTCAGGGCTCTGATGTTTGCAACTCGAAGCCTGGCTGTTGCTGGGATGTGCTTGTTCTCCCTGGGAAGAGATGCTGTTGAGGAGCATATCCCAGCCTGGCAACACCAACTCCATGCTTAGCAGGGAGGTGAATCCCGAGCCGGGAATGCTTTTGGGTTTTATTCTTACCACTGCTGTGGGAATGCCTGTAAAGTCTCCAGAGCCATGGCAACGTGGGTGCTCCTGTTCCCCCACGCCCTGACAGGTCTGTGTGTGTCACCTGCACAGGGACTGTGCTCCTGCTGGAAGCTCTTGGTGGCTGCAATTAACTTGTACCTAAGCACAGATAACACCGATTTTTGGGGTGGGTTTTTTGGTTTCTTTTCCTACAGTGTGTCTAACAGCTGTCAGGATTTTTAAAACTCGAGCTGCCAACAATTTCCCACAGTTGAAGGAACCTCTGGAGTATGAGATCTTCAAAGCACAGCATCACTGCTTGATCTGAGCTGAAAAATTTACCATCCAGCAGCTCATCAGAGCGGGAATCACACTCAGTAGCTGGTGTTTAGGTGCTCAGGGAGGGCTCCTACGTGCCCATGGGCAGTCACAGCTTTGGCCAAATGCTTGCAGGGCATGAGGTTTGAGTGGCAAAGGCAGCAGTCAGCAAGCACTCATCTCTTTGATACACAAATAGCCTGGAACTAACACTTAGCAGGGGGCAGGAGCCTGGCTAGAAGGTACTTCGGGCACCCCACCCCCATTTTTCAGCCACGTTGAGCAGAGGTGGAACTAGTGCAGCTCTCTCCCCTTTGGACTGAACACAGCAGCCAGTTAACTGAGCAGACACTCTCACCCAGTGAAGTCTGTCACAGGAATTACAGATAAAACACACTGGATTTCCCACGAGGGAATGGCATGGGTTAACTGTGCTCAGCAGCACTGCACCTGACAAACAGGGGATGCACTGAACAGTTCCCTGTTGCAGCACTCAGATGGGAACATCCCTGCTGGAGCAACTGAAGAGTGGATCCATCAGCTAATGAAGCAGAGTGGTCACTGCACCAGACAGTGAGGGGATTTAAGAGCTGACCATGCCTGAGTCCCCCAACCACCTGCACACCTAAGAGACAGCCCACCCACCTACCATCTGGTCTGCCAGAGCACATCATCTGAGCACAGTGATTACTTGTGACAGAAACCAGCTGAAGTTTCACACTCCAGATCTCCTGAGCAGCTCCAAACACTCTGACATGACCTGGCGAGCGTCCACATCAGAATTTTTCACCCAGGGCTTCAAGGTATGAGAAGTGAGATCTGCTGTTGGGCCTCCACAAGAGACAAGGAAACATATATTAAACAACAACAGACATAAATAACAAAAAATAACACTCACACAAGACAAAAAAAGGTGAGGAAAAAGAGACCAGAAATAGGCAGCTACAAAGAAACAATGCAGTCACATTCAAATACAGGCCCATCTCTCCTTCATATATTGCTCCAGATCAGAGCTCTAACAATTTTCATCACAATTCAGTCTCAGGACACAATGCACTTATCCCAAACAACAGATACACACATCCCAGCCTCTCCAGTATTTGGCTTTCTCACAGTCACATGGGCCAGAGTCTTTACAAGTTTTTTCAGGATGCTGAGCAGGCTTTCCTTTGGCAGTATGGTCATGAGTGGGTCTAGTATTTTTTTTTGAGTTCAGGACTAAAATACTTTAAAGAGTGTCTAGGGAGCGCTCAGCTTTGCTCTGCAGGCAGTTCTTGGAACAGAACAGATCACTACTGTCTTTAGTGAATTTAAAGGACTTTAACCCAGTCCTTTAAACCTGCTAAAACAGGCAGAGATGGAAGCTGGACTGCGCTCACATGCTCTGTTAAACAGCTCCCTCCTGCGGATACATGCTCTGTGCCTGAGAACTCCAGGCAGGATTCAGATGGTGAGGCTACAACTCCCCAGTGAGCACAAGCCCCCTGTTGTCCTCGTGGCCGCTCTCCTCGGAGTGCCCCAGGGCTGCCCACGCGTGCTCCGATCCAGCCGCCGGCTCCAGCGGTGCTCCCGAAGCAGCAGCCGCTCTTAACAACAGGAAGACCCCGATTTGGAGCTGGAGTGCAGGTCAATGGTGTGGCCCAGCATGCAGTGCTCCAGCTGCTCCTCCACCGCCAGCACCTGTCGCACAGCCTCCTCAAAGGCCACTGTCACATTGGTGTCGTCCTTGGCGCTGGTCTCCAGGTACGGATAGTTACCGTTCTCCATGCACCAGGCCCGGGCCTCCTCCGTGCTCACCTGTCTCTCCAGTTTGTCTATTTTGTTGCCCAGGACTACAAACGGGAAGTGTTCGGGGTCCTTCACGTCAGCGTAGTAGACAAACTCCTTCTGCCAGTTACTGAGGTTCTCGAAGCTCTGCCGGTCGTCCACGCTGAAGGTGAGCAGGCAGCAATCTGCCCCCCGGTAAAAGGGCGTCCGCAGGCTCTTGAACCGCTCCTGCCCCGCCGTGTCCCAGATCTGGAGGGTCACAAAACGCCCGTCCACCTCCAGGTCCCGGTTCAGGAACTCCACCCCGATGGTGTGGAACGCCTGCGAGTCAAACTTGTTGGTGACGTACCGGTTCATGAGGGAGCTCTTCCCAACTCCACCATCCCCGAGGAGAATGACCTTCAGGAGCAGGGACTTCCCACTCATTGCAGCAGGACGGAGGGGCGGGGTCCCAAGGCAATCTGCAGGGATCAGAAACAGTACAAAACACCCATTTGACTCGTGGATTCTGCAGAAAGGCGCATGCAGAAGAACAGAATATGGTATTTTCATCCCCATCTCTGAACAAGTTTTGTATATAGGGGGTAATCTCCTATATAGGAGGTAATCTCTCTTTTTAGAGAGCGATCTTATTATTCTAATCTCTCTCACTAGAGAGATTACAGCTGGGGACTGGACGAGCTTTCAGGCACGAGTCCTCCATCAGGTCCAAAATGGATTCAGCAGGTCACTACTATAAGTGCAAGATGAGAACAATGTTGAGAATTTGGTACCAATTACACTACTTTTAGTGAAAACCCTGCATCTACAAGCTTGTCCAGTTCTTTCGAACAGATCATCACTAGTTAAACATCTCTCCTGGCCTGCATCCTCAGGCTATCACAGGAACAGCAAAATCACCAGGGGTGCCTATCACCAGGCCTTCCTTCCCACTGTACCATCACCAGCTAAATCATTTCTCCCATCTGCCTCGCTCTGCTGGAAGGCTGTAACGAATGTGCAGGTCTGTATCGATGCGAGTGATTCGCCAGGCTGGCTCTGGATCACCCCGAGGATGCTGACTCACCAGCGGAGCTGCGCGTGATCCCGCGGCTCAGGAGGGGTTTTCCAGGCACGGGCACCGGCTGCTCTGCTGCTCCTGGCTGCCAGTGCTCCTCACAGCCCACTTTGCTGGGGCTCAGGTGCAGGTTTACACCGCAGCAACCCCGACACCACAGGTTCCTTAGTCAGCAGGCTCCAGGCCGAGTGCCAGCACATCCTCCCCCTCCCAGGGATGCCCTACAGGCCTGACATGGAATAAGAGGTTTGTCTGGCTGTCGTACTGTACCTGCTCTGGAGACACAGTCGTCTCTGGGACTGTCCAGGGAACACCTTCCTCCAGTGTAACAGTCACTGAAAAACAGACATCGGTCATCCAGGTTGCCAGAGCTGCTCTTGGTGTCTTTGTGTGTGATGCTGATGCAGGATGGAAGAACAGCAGCAGAGCTCTAGGAAGCTGCAAGTGCAGTACTGATAGCTGGAGTAGAACAGGTAAGAACAAAGCACCAGGGAGATTCCCTTGCCCTACGTGAAATGGAACAGAGCCCACTCCTGGACAGGGCAGAGCCAGTACCATATGGATGCTACACCCGAAATAAGAACAGAATAAACTGAAGGAGCTCTGACATGAGTGCACAGGTTGTGCACCCTGTGCCTCCCCTCAGTCCAGGGGACATTGACAGCTGTAATCTGCTTGGCCTGCCTGGTCACACGCTCTGCAATCTGATTTGAGGATGGAATATGCACCTGAACCTGCTATCCAGGAGAGTGAGCCAGCTGGCAACAGCCTGGGAGCCTGCTTACACCTGCTACCAACATTCCCGGGAAGGGTGTGGATGAGCAGGGCTGCTCAGTGATGACACCTCCAACCCACCACAGCAGGAGCGTGTGGCACTGCCCGGAACAGCACTCCTACTCTGTCCAGGCCAAACCCCGCTCTCTGCATTAATTGTGAGGGGCCCTGTTCAACTTTGATTCTGCGCTTTCTGCAACCCTTCCAAACTTTGTGGCAACCACAAAGCCCAAAGCAGAAACTTCTGCTTCTAGTGAGTTTCCGCACTTTCTGCACAAAAGGCTCACCGATTTCACTTCCCTGCACAGAAACAGCCCAAAACCCAAGCACAGCTGCGCTAACCCGATGGGACATCTGCAGAGCACTGAGCGGTCCAGCAGTCCTAAAGCAAAGAACAAAATGCAAATGTCACGAGAGACAAACAGGAACTGCAGCACAGCTCCCTGGGGCTGCTGGCTTGGGGGAACCCTCCCCTGGGCAGGTGAACCGCTCAGCACCCTTGTTCTTTTCCCAAACCTTGCTGAGGGCGGGTTTGAAGGTGGTCCTGGCACAGGCCATCAGCCCCGAGCAGAGTTCCTGTTTAGAGGTGGTTTGTTAGCAAGTGACTCGTTTCAAGGATGACTAATAGGTGATGTCGGGCAGGTCAGCGGGACGCTGGAAACCGTGACACGGCCGTGACACCGACAGCGCATCCTCGCTTGCCCCGCTGTGAGCTGTTCCATCGGCTGACCCCCACCTTGAGTGCAGGGAACAGCACAGGGAACACCAGCGGGGCGGGCACGCAGGGCCCGACTCCCCCCGCCCGCTCCCCAGGCCCCGGCTCGGCTGGAGGCGAGACCCTCCGGCGGGTCCCACGGGAGCGGCCAGGGGAGGTGCCCGCGGCCGCGGAGCAGTGCCCGCGAGGGGCCCGCCGGCCGGGGCGGAGGGGCAGCCGCCCATCCCCGCCGTCCATCCCCGCCGTCCATCCCCGCTCCCCGCCCTGCCCTCACTCACCCTCAGCGCCCGCCCGGCCCGCGGGCCGCAGGTGCCGCTCAGCCCCGCGCCTGCGCCGCGCACGCGCCTCCCGCCTCCCGCCGCCGGCCGCGGGCGGGGTGGGGCGGGGCCGGGACACGCCCCTCGACCCGCCCGGCCACGCCCCCCGGCCCCCTCAGCGACCGCCCCGGCACTGCCCGCATAGTGCCCGCTGTGCCCCGCAATGTCAGCCCCGGCACTGCCCTCAGAGTGCCCACTGTGCCCGCTGTGCCCCCAGTGTCAGCCCCGGCACTGCCCTCAGAGTGCCCGCTATGCCCGCTGTGCCCCCAGTGTCAGCCCCGGCACTGCCCTCAGAGTGCCCGCTGTGCCCCCTACTGTCAGCCCCGGCACCGCCCTCAGAGTGCCCGCTGTGCCCCCAGTGTCAGCCCCAGCACTGCCCTCAGAGTGCCCACTGTGCCCGCTGTGCCACCAGTGTCAGCCCCGGCACTGCCCTCAGAGTGCCCGCTGTGCCCGCTGTGCCCCCAATGTCAGCCCTGGCACTGCCCTCAGTGCCCGCTGTGCCCCCCAGTGTCAGCCCCGGCACTGCCCTCAGAGTGCCCGCTGTGCCCCCAATGTCAGCCCCGGCACTGCCCTCAGAGTGCCCGCTGTGCCCGCTGTGCCCCCAGTGTCAGCCCTGGCACTGCCCTCAATGCCCGCTGTGCCCCCAGTGTCAGCCCCAGCACTGCCCTCAGAGTGCCCGCTGTGCCCCCTGTACCCATCAATGTCAGCCCCGGCACTGCCCCCACAGTGCCCACAGTGGTCCCTGTCACTGCCCCCTCAGTGCCCATTGTGCCCCCTGTATCCGTCAGTGCCCAGTCCCGTCACTCCCCTCACAGTCCTGGCACGTTCCCCTGCACCCCCTCCCTGCCCACCTTGTCACTGCCCTCACAGTCCGCATGTCCCCTCTTTGTCACTTCAGTGACAGCTGCCCTAAGGAGCGCAACTTTCCCCACCCTCCCCATCGCCAGCGGGACCAGTAGCGAGAATGTCTTAAAGAAGGAGGGGGGAAGAGCAGCAAATACAAACATCACAGAGAGGTGGAGGGAAAAAACAGCGGCAAGGCCGTCCCAGCCTGGCCCAAACAGTGAGGGGAGACAGGAGAGGGAGGGTGAAACCAGACCCCCAGGTGGCTGCAGAGGGGCTTTGGGGAGCAGGAGCCACTTGTGTTGTTGCTCCTGGCAGGCATCGTCAACTCTTCTTCCTGCCAGCGCCTGGTGCCCCCGGAGATACACCTTCAAAACCTGGGGACATATCTCATTGTGTCCCCCACGCCTCTTCCCCAGGGGGACAAGAGCAGGGACCCCTTGCACGGGCACCCAGCGATTTTGGCCATCTAAACCCAGCACCAGCTCCAGGGCCAAGTGAGTGCTACAGGAACACATTGATTCCCTCCTCCCCCCTGGAAAAGCATGAGATGGGAGGAGGATTTAAATTAAGCCAGGGATTATATTAATACCAGCCTCGATCTGTCAGAGGAGATGGGGGACAAGGCAAGCCTAGGGAGGTAAGCAGGGGGTGGCCAGGATGAGGACTCATGCTAGCAGTCTGGGATCTGGGGAGCTCAGGTAAAAGGGGGGTGCTCCTGGGCCATGCACTTGGGCCACCAGTGTACACACCAGCACCAGAACCAGAAGCTCAGGATGCTGCTGGTACAAGGAACAGACCCAGCCTGCACCACGTGCTGGGGCTTTCTCTGAACCAGTCCAGGTCCCCATGCCAGCCCTGACAGGACCATGCATTGCCAGGGTGAACCTCTGAGCATGGCACACTTGCCCCTGCCAGCTCCCTTTGCCTGGCAGCCGTTTAATCCTGTTATTTGCCAGCACTTATTAATTAGAGATCTGATTTAGCATGTAAGGAGTGAGACACCTCCTGAGGAAGAAAGAGCCTCCACGGCAGATCCTGCTAAGGCAGCTGGGGCATGGTGCTCTGCAGCCGTTCCCTGACAGTCTGGACCACCCCTCTAAGGTCTGGCAGACATCAAATCCTTGGGAGATTCTGCCTGCAGGGTTTGGGGATGGCAGCACAGCCAAGGACACCACAGGGCCAGTGACCCCAGCTGACTGTGCTCGTGCTCAAGGGACCCCCATGTACCTGCAGGCTAATCCACGGGTACTGGCAGCTGTTGGGGACTCACTTGCCCATCTGAGCAGAGATGTGCCTGGTCTGATTTGGCTCCCAGTGCTTCTGCAGCCTGGTTACCTTGCTGAGCTGGGCAACAACCTGTTTGGCATCTGTGGTGGACTGACCCTGGTGCCAACCAAACTGCTCTATCACCCCCCTCCTCAGCAGGACAGGACATAGCAGACAGAAAAAACACGGGGGTCAAGACAAAAGCAGTTTAATAAAGCAAAAGGTGCACGTAGAAGCAAAAGAAAGCAAAGGATTTATTCTCTACTTCCCATCAGCAGGCCATGATGTCTGGCTGCTTCCCTGGAAGCAGGGCTTAAGAACACATAATGGTTGCTCCAAAAGATGGTTGCCTTCTTGTAATGGTCCACTTTTCTGAGTAGTTCACAAGATCTTCCATGAATTAGTATGTTGCCCTCACACCTGAGAGGAGATGCCTGCAAATACTGCAAATTTTGGCCACAAATTGATGCCAGTGGTGATTAGTAGTATTAAAGAGCTCACAGGAGGGTGAGCAGGGACCTCAGGAGCCTGCACAATAAAGCCACCCACACCAGTCCTGGCTAGGGAGAGGGAGATGTATTCCCTGATCCACTGCAGGAGACAGCTCCCCCAGCAGAGCAAGGCCATCAGTGCAGAGCACAGAGCAGTGGTTTGTACTAACATGTTCCCAGCCCAGCAAAGCAAAGAGATAAGCAGTGCAGCCAACAAACTGGGACTGACAGGAGCTGCCTGCTTAGCAAATACTACATCTATAGCACACTTAGCACAAGTCAAGGAACTGGCTTATCTGGGCACAGCCTTGTGAGTTGGCACTGGGTGGGACCTCGCCTATGGGTCCTGGGCACTCCTGGGCAGAGGGATTTGTCTGGAGATGGGGATGTGACCCAGGAGCCACGTGCTGGGTAGGGGCTACCAGGGCTGTGGGGGCTGCACGGGGCAGTGGGGCAGGGACTCTGCAGGGTACTGGGCTCCTGCAGCAGGAGAGGTTTGACTCCCCTGGGCTCAGCTGCAGCCATCACCTGGCTCCCACTCCCAGCTCTGGGAGTTACAGCAAACTGGAGGATGCTGGTGCCAAGGTGAAGGAACCCTGATCCAGCTTCAAGAGACTGCAAGCCCATGGACACACAGCACTGCCAGCTCATGCCCTGATTAATTCATCCCACATCCTGTGCTGCAGCTGGGGCTTGGGTCTCTGCCTTTGTTCCACCCCCCGTGCAAGGCTCCACAGCTGCTTCTCCAAGGCCTGTACCCGGCAGCCACTCCAGCCCATGGCATCTGCTCTCAACACTTCCCAGCACACAGACCCCAAGAACAGTCCCGCCACCCTCTGCCTTGGCAGCCCCCATTTCCCCGAGCCCACAGCTCCGAGCAGTGGTTGACAAGCACCTCATCACCCACTGACCTCCCCGAGAAGGAGCTCCATAGCTGGAGCAAAGTGGAGAAGATGCCCCCCATGCATCCCCCTCCACCCCACACAGCTCAACACGCCCTGGAGAAGTGACCTGTGCAGTTTCTGTGAGCTGGTCTGAGGCAGCAGGGAGGGGCACATGCCTGGGCTGCAGAGCTGCCTCTCTGAGACACAACACTGCAAGCAGGGGCTTGTCCCACCATCAGTGCAACTGCAAGCCTGTCAGCAGCCCAGTCACACACCACTGCCACAGCCTCTGTCCTCGCCTGCTTGTCCATCCCCTGCTCTTCCCTGGAGATCCTCACCAGTTATCAGGGACAATGCTGGGTGACAAGGTGGCAGAGCAGGTAGCACCACAGGAGGAAGCACCAGACATAGTTCTACTCTGATGTAGGTGCACAGGCAGGCTGGGGCTTCAGGACACATCATGAGGCATCTGTTGCAACACGTTTATCTGCCGCGCATGGCTCCTGAGCTGGTTCCTGGAAAGCCACAGAGGCATCTGGCAGGCACCGGTTCACGGCTGCGAGGAGGGGAGTTCGACCTGTGCTGCCATGGGCTCTGCTCTGGGACTCACAGCAAAGGCTCGAGGCAGCAGGGACGGAGGAGGGGGACAGAGAGGTGTATGGGACCCTGGCTGCCTCTTGGTGGGGAGAGTGCCTGGACAGAGGGGCAGAGGGAAACTGCTCCTGCTGCTGCTCTGGGGTGCCTCCACCCTGCCTATTGGTGATTCTGGGTGAAGCAGCAAAGGACCATATTCCCGTGCTGACCCCCCATCTCCTACCCTGTACCCCACCCTCTGTGCCCAGCCCATACCCTGCACGATGCTGTCCGTGCCCAGCCTGGCCCCGAGTTCCCTGTGGGCAGCTGGATATTCCTCCACGGGTTCATCTGAGCAGGTCTGGGGCTCTGACACTGCAGGGTGCCACCAGCACTAGCAGTGGGGCTCACAGGCTTTGGGACAGCAGTGATCTGAGGAGAGGACATTGACTTCTGCCTTGTCCAGACAAAGTGAGGTGACATTGCCTACAGGTAACATCCACCATGGAAGGGCTGGAATTTTGTTTTTCCACTCCTTGAGATTTCCTTGTGTCACAGAAGGGCACGAGCAGCCTCAGGTGCCCCTGGCAAATCCCAGCCACCTGTGCCGTGGCTTGGGCACTGGATGCATCCCTACTGCCATCAATCCCATGGGTCTGAGCCCCCACCTTTGTCTCCCCTCGGCTTCCCAGGCTGCCATATCCCAGCTGTTTCCTGTGGAGAGGAATAAATCATGGAGATAGAGCCATGCTTTGGGAACAGGGAAACAAAATGGCTTTTCATGCCATAATCCTTTGTAATAAAACACCAGGGGCAAGAAAGATGATAAACAATGTCTCCTATGTGAGCCAGCTGCTTCCTAAAATAAAGCACTCCTCTGCTCCATCAGCTGTCCCGGCTCGGGTGCAAGCGCGGGCGCTGCCCCAGGACACCGGAGCCGTGTTCCTGCAGGAGCACATGCTCCCGCAGCTCTGGCCAGGCCCCTGGGGCCCGCGGGAATCTGCAGAATGCAAGGGGGGGGCTCAGAAACGAGCAGTGAGTTCCAGCCGCTCTCAGGAGCGAGTGGGAGCCCCCAAAGGGCTCGGCATCCCCCGGCGCCAGCAGCGCGTGTGCCGCCTGGCAAAGGCATCCAGCAGGGCTGCTCCACCTGTGCCCTGGGCCAGCAACAACCCCGGCAAATGCAGGAGTGAGGGGGTGCAGGGGGCTCAGTGCATAACTTCCCGGCTTTGTTTAGGCCCGGGTGCTGGCAGAAGCCTGATCCTGAGCAGGAAGCTCTGAGCGCTCCGGGTTCATCATTGCTCTGGCTGAGCCCTTGCTGGCAGGGGATGAGTAAGCTCCTGCTGGTAAACCTGACCTCCTGGGCATTATTTCAAGAGCAGCAGTAACTTCTCTGCTGCTGGGGAAGGCTGAGTGTGTGCTGAGTGTGGCAGCCTGGCAGTGCACGGCCCGCGGGCCAGCTTCCCTGTGCAGGTGTCCTGAGGTGCCTGCCATCAATTCCTTTGCCAGAAGTCCGTGGTCAGTACCCACCACAACACTTTCGTTTCCCCACTACTGCTAATTCTCTTCTGCTTTCCTCTTTCACAGCCAAACACACAGCTATCCCCACGCACACACGTATCCTCCCCAGTCAGAGGTATTCCCTGGCAGCTCGTGCTTGTTGCCCCTGGCCTCCCCTCTCCACCCCTGCCACCGCAGGGTGGTTTGAGCTCTGTGCTCAGCAATGTGTCCACACAAGTAGCAGGGTGCTGCAGCCAGGCAGGGAGCACTGGAGCACCGGGGTTCCCAGTGCAGGGCCACGCACAGGCTGAGCCAGGGACCTCCTGCCGGAGATGAGGTTATGATTCTCCACATAGGGGTATTTGGGGCCAAATCCTCTCCTGGCTGAGTCAGAGGGGATGGAGCAATGAAAGGGGCAGACACCCATCCCAGTCACAAGCCTTGATCTGAATTCACCTCTGATCTGAATTTACCTCATGCTGCTGATCGCCAGGTATTTGCCCAAATTCCTCCTGCCAGTGACTCAGCCTTCTCCTCCCTCCTTCTGCAGCGGGGCCACAGCTCACCACCTGATGGAGTGTAGGAGGAAACTGCCCACGGGAGCAACAGGATGGGCCCCATGGATTGTATCCTCCTGGCATTGCCAAGAGGGGCTGACACAAGTAACTCACCTGCTGCCCAGCGAGGGAAGGGACATCGAGCCCTGCCAGGAACACCCAGTTCCCAGCATGGCATCCTCTGTGTGTGGGTGGCTGCTGGGGCAGCCCGTGCTGCTGAAGCCACCACATTTCTAAGGGACAACAGCCTGGCAGCTGTCCTGGCCACCCACAACACTGGCAGCTGTGGGCTGGCGTGAAAAAGGGAAGGTCTGGGGTAGGGAGGGAAAGTGTTGATATAAAGGGCTTTTCTGTAATGTTCTCCCCTTACTGGCTCGTCCTCTGCTGGCAACAGGGACATTTTGGGCTTTCACTGTGTTCCAAAACATCTTACTCTTTACCCTCAGACCTGAGGGTAAAGCTCCAGCTGATTCCCTGGCTTTGGGCTGGGACTGCCAGCCCCTGGAGTGGCTTGTCCTCAGGGCATAGACCTGGCTGTGCTAGCACTTGACCCCATGTCCAAACCAGTATTGCTGCATCCCTGGGGTGGCCACAGTGAAAAAGTAACCCAAACCCAGGTGCACCAACAACCCTGTCCTCACCCTGCAGCTTCCTGGGATGCACGGGGGTCCTCTGGGCCACTTCCACAGGCTGGGAGCATTGCCAGCTGCTGGCACCAGCCACCCTGCCATTTGGAGCTGGGGAGCCACAGCGCTGTCCCTGTCTGGGAAATCAGCTGGCCCCATAGGAAGGGTGTGCCCAGTACCCTTGGGCAGGCTCTGCTGCCTGTGTGTGCAGCACAGGGTGATGGGGAGGCTTTTGTGAGCACAGCGGTGCCAGGGATGGGACACTCCTGCCGTGGCCTTGCAGGAGCCCATGTGACTCGGAGAGGTAAGTGCCCTGGTGCTTTTCCATGCCTGCAGAGGGGCCCGTTGCAGCACGCAGCAGGGAGGGGCACCGGGGCGGTGTCCTGAGCAGCCAGGGTGCTGTGGGCAGCCACTGAGGAGATCAGCAGTGCCACTTTGTGTTTCCATCCATCTCTTGGTTCAGCTCAGGCACTCAGGGACAGGGTTCAGGCTGGCTTTGCCTGCCTGCCCCAGTCCTGGGAACATCAGGGTGCTGAAGGGGAAGGGAGACAGCTACCCACGTGCTGGGCTTCCCAGTGCTCAGCTGAGTGTAGCACAGCCCCATTTGAACCTCAGTATCACTCCCCACTGCCCTCACCCCACAGAAAACCCTGCACGCTGCCCTGACAACACACAAACATCGACCTCTTACCTGCAGCTCTTTCGAGTCTGCTTTTTAAGGGGTGAAGGCAGTGGCAAGCACACAGGCAGTGTTATTTGCAGTCCTTGGCAGGCAGCGTGGGTGGAGGCAGTAGGCAGATAGGCACTGTGTCCAGACAGGCACAACAGCCCCGTGTTTGTCCCAGCTGACCAGGCTCCCTAAGGACACTGGCCAAAACTGTTAGTTGGCAAGTTTAGGCCAGTCTGCCTCCACCTCCTCCACAACTGGCCTGGTGCATTCAGTGACCCTGCAGGCCAGGTGGAGGTGAAGAAATCCTGGCAGCAGCCAGGAAGCCTCAGCACAGACCTGGAGGCACTGTCAGAGCTCACCCACACCGTGCTGGACGGCAACTGCAGGACCCAGGGATCTCCACACCCACAAGGCAGGGCTGGGATCAACACAGAGGGTACCAAGGCAGTTACTGCATTAAACCCCATCTTTACAGGGCTGCCAAAACCTCCTCCCATCAAGGGTAGGGGCAGAGGTTGGCTCAAGGGGAAGTGAAGGGCTGTGCCAGGCAGTGAGGGGAGAGCTCTGGGTGGGCAGAGCTGGCCTGGCCAGCACAGCAGCAGAACCCAGGCCAGCAAGCCCACTGCCAGCACCTCCAGCTGTGCTGATGAGGAGCCAGCCCAGCTCCACAATGATTTTAGGCAGGGGACACCAAGCTTTTCAAAGCAGGAGGCTCAGCCTTCACATGGGCAGTAAGGCCCAGTTAAGCCTCTGCCATAAGAAGAAACCACTCTGGTGGTGGAGCACAGCGGCCTCAGTCACACCAGCAGTGCTCCCAGCTCCCCCAGGCCACCAGGAACGGAGACCCAGGCAAACACCAGGCTTGATTAACTCTGGAGGGAACCAACCCACCATCCCTCTGAGCATCACCAAACCGCCAGCACTGCTGCAGCACCAGGCACAGACCTCCCCACCCTCCAGGGCAAGCCAGGCTACAGCCAGAACCTTTGCCAGGGAATAAGTCACAAGCCACTGGTAAGTCATTACATTTTTTTATTTTATAATAAACTTCTCATTTTTCCCCCAAGGAAGACAAAAAACTGTGAGTGAGGCTACAGAACACTGTCAGTGAAGAATATGCAAGACAGACCCAGGCCAGAGGTGAGGCCAGGCCAGAAAGGGTCCCCACTCCCCCAGGCAGAAGGGGTCCATCTCCAGAAGCCTCCATGGCCCTTGCTCATCTTCCCACTGCATCAGAGCAGGATCAGTGCTGTCACAGGAGCCAGCTGAGCAGCAGCAGAGATGGCATCGGGTCAGGCTACTGATGGACTGAGAGGACCACGCTTTGTCCCCCCACCCGCCAAGGCTGCCAGCAGGGTGGGACAGTGTGTTAGGTGATACAGCTGTTTTCTACACATGTACATGATGTAAATTTAAAAAAACCCACATGATTCATTTCAAAGCAAAGTAATCGGAGTAGTCGCTCTTCATGCCAGGCAATCTCTCCCTAGGAAGACTTCACACATTCCTTCTCCTGCTCAATAGCTGCAAGAGAATAGAGGGCTGTTAGTCTTTGGTGCTTTTTTTTTTTTTTATTTTGGAAGCACCCACTGTAGAAGGTTTCAGAGGATTGACTGAGGCCCTGGCACCCAGTTTTATTTACTGGACCCCAAGACGAACACTCGAGTTAGAAGGTGATGAGACACACATGTGCATGAGAGCAAGATGGGCACCTGTCTGCATCCATCCTCGGGAAAGCCATGCCCTGAGGCATCATCTCGGAGCAACAGCCCTCCCTCCCCGTGTGCCCGTGCCCACCCCCGGGCTGCACACCCCTCTGCCCCTGGGTCAGAGCCCCGCTGCCCCAAATCAATCACCCCCGAGGGCACTGCCCCGCCCGCCCCCGGCCCCGCACTCACTCTCCTTGGAGGGCAGCGTGTTCTTCTCCTCCGTGTTGGTTTTCTTCAGCTTCTTCTTGTCGAATTTCTCCACCTCCGAGAGGTCCGGTTTGTCGCACATTTTGCCTGCGAGACCCCCGGCCGCAGTCAGGGGTCGGGCAGACAAAGGCGGCCCCCCCGGCCCCGCCGCGGACAATAGCGCAGGGCGGGGCGGCCGCCGCCCCGGGCACCGCGCCGCTCGCGGGGCCCGGGCAGCCGTGCGGGGCGGCCCCCCCGCTGCCCGCACCCGCCGGGGGAGCCCTCCCTGCCCCCGCACCCGCGGAGGGGAATCTCCCCGCGCCAGGCAGCCACGTCCTCCCGGCCACCTCCCGCAGCCCCCACCCCGGGGCGCCCCGGCGAGCCCCTCCTCGCAGCAGCGGTGCCGCGCGTACCTGCGGCGCGGAGGGCGCGGTGGGTGCGGTGTGCGGAGGGTGCGGTGTGTGCGATGTGCGGTCGCCGCCAATGCCGCTCCCTGCTCGTCCAGGTGTGACTGGGGCGCGCGCCGTGAGGGGCGGCGCCTTATATAGCCCGGCCCCGCCCAGCCCGCGCGCCCATTGGCTGCCCGCCCGCCGCGCCTGCCGGGAAGCGCGGGCCGCCAGGGGGCGGCCGCTCCCGCCCTGCCCCGCGGCGGGGGCGCGAGAGGGGCTGAGGGAGGGCGTGAGGGGACACCCGTGAGGGGACACCCGTGAGGGGACACCGGGAATAGGGACACCCGGGATGGGGACACCCGGGATGGGGACACCCGGGATGGGGACACCGGGAATAGGGACACCCGGGATGGGGACACCCGTGAGGGGACACCGGGAATAGGGACACCCGGGATGGGGACACCCGTGAGGGGACACCCGGCATGGGGACACCCGGCATGGGGACACCGGGACACGGAGCCCCTCACACACACGGACACGGCGCCTGCTGCCCCTTGCACACACACACCCCCTAGCGCCGCAGAACACCCTTGTACCCACCCAGCCCTGCACACACCTGTCCCATGCACACAGAGCCTGTCCACAACCAGCCCCTGCTGCCACCCCTGCTCCCCACACTGGTGTCCAGCTATGAGGGGCAGCAGGCTGGTCCCTGTGGGGCCGAGCGACCTCAGAGCCGCTGTGCCAGCCCCAGAAGAAGGTGTCCTGCTGCAATGGAGGCAGCTGTGCCCCTTGTGTCTGCCCAGGGATGCACCCGCTGCTGAACCAGAATTGGCTAAAATGAGCACCGTACTCTCACACTTGTGAGAGATGCTCGACCACTGCGCCCACCTTATGGCCGTGCTGGCTCTGGCCACAGTGTTTCCTGGGGAGATCGGGTTGCTAAAGAAGCAGCACAGGTGGGCAAGAAGCTGACCGTGCTCATGGGGTCTCATTTGGCCACAGCAAGGCAAGGGGTGCAGGAAGCTTGGGAAGCAGTCAGGACAGTGCAGATGGCCTGGAGTGCATGTGGAAAAAATACCTTTGGTGGGGAAAAGCCAAGAGCCAGCGCAGGCAGCCTACGTGATCCCAGCAGGAAGGGTAGCGGCAGTCTGGGAGCAACTGAGCACCAGGATGGGAAGTGCTTGGAGGGTCAGGAGGCCTGGCAGTAGGGTCCTGTAGGTACTGAAGGGAATAGGAATGAAGGGACAGAAAAAGCATCCTGACTGCATACGAGACTCGCCAAAACCCTTCTACAGACATCCTGGTGTATCCCTCCTGGTGTGGCAGCAAGCAGGAATCTCTTACAGAGCACCACAGGTAGCAGCTGCGCTGCAGCAGCAGCTCTCACCTCCACCTCCTTGCAAGCCTGGGTTTCTCTCAGGACTTACTGGAGATTTTGCAAAGCAAATCCCCAGCAATCCGGAGGGAACGCTTGCTTTGTGTTCTTTAGCAAGACGGCTGCCGTCTTGGCAGGAGGGCTGGCGCTTTCCAGCGACAGCAGGTCGTGGCCGGAGGTGGCCCTTTGCCGCAAGCCCTGAGGCACCTCCTCGCTCCAGCCAGAAAACTGGCTCTGAATTCAAGAAACGCCAAGAGCTGGCAAATGCTGAAAAGGCAAAGGCCAAGATCCAAGGCCAGGCTGCTCCTCTGAGAGAAGTCTGGAGGGCAAACAGCCTCCACTGCCTGTCCCCCAGAGGAGGGAGGAAGAAGCCACTGATGAAGCCCCAGGCCAGGCTGCTCCCAGAGCCGTTCTGATTTGGTGGTGCAGCCGCTGGCAGGGCCAGGTTTGGAGAGTGCCACAAAGCCAGGAGCTCCAAGCCCAGACTGCCTTCAGGAGCATCCTTTAAACCCACCCTGCAGAGCCTGCATCACACAGCCCAGCCTAAGCTGAGAAAAGGCTCGTTTTCCCTGCACAGCCAGCAAGCAAAAAAACCACCCCTGCAGTTTCAAAATGAGCGCAGAAAATCCTTTTTGCCTTTATGCAAATAGTCAGACAAGTGTTTTACTGTGTGTTTACTCTCCGGCTGTGCACACCTTCCCCTCAGCTTCCCCCTCTTTCCCTGCCTGTTCTCCACACGCTTCTCCTTTGTGGATGCTGCAGTCTGCTGTAGCTTTTGTCCCTGGCAGGCAGCGAGTGCAAAAGAACCTGATGCCCATCCTCCCTGTGCACAGCCCCTCACCAGCACCAGCTGCACCCAAAAACCCGATCACCCCCTGCAGCCGAGGAACAGCCCCCGGGCAACATGCTTCATCTCCTCGATGCTGCAGCACTTTGCAAACCCAGAGTCTTTGTTTGGGCACAAAACCACCACGGTGGCCACGCAGGGACAGGGGAAAGAGATCTCAAACCAGTCACGGCCACACAGGCACCACCACACTCCCACAAACCACGGCCAGAGCAGCTTTAAAGCCAACCCTGCGCGCTGCCAGCAGGAGAGAGGTGGGGCTGCTGCTGGGGAGCTGTTAAAACCCATCTTGCACAAAGAACAAGAAAGGAGCTTATATCCCAGCAAGAGCTTTTCCCCCTGACAAATTAGCAAAGCCTCCTGTAACCGCACAACCAGCTTCTTTCTTACGTGTTTTGGCATTTCTGCTTTCAATAATTCATAACAAAAGAACTGAGACATCAACAGATGGGGGGAAAAAACAGCCCTGACCTGAAACAGCACCGACTGACTGCCAGCCATTTTAGATGGGTTTTAAATCTCACGCAGAACGAGGCTGCCAGAGCTCAGATACAGCCTCCCTGATGGCCATTTCCAGGAATGCCTTTTCCTCTGCACAGGAAGGAGGCAGGAGGTTCTCTCTGATCCAGGAGGTGTTTTCAGCCGGCAGGACATCACAGCAGCCAGCCACCCCTGCCAGGCTGTGAGCCACTCTGCAGGGCCAGTTCACTTTCTCCTGTTCATTTTAAACCCCAGCCTCCTGCCGTGACCCCTCACATCCATCAGGGCAGGAGCAGGAAGCCCCAGGAAGGCAGCAGCAGACTGGGGCTGTTGTGTCTCACAGCAGGGCTCATTCCTCCCATGGGTTTGGCTGCTCTCAGTAATTTAGCAAGGGCCTGGTTGTTAGCAGTGTTTCCCCCTTCCCCCATAGCAGCAAGCAAAGGTGCTTTCTCCAGATCATAGAAACACCGACTCCAGGAGATAAGGAGTCATCTGTACACCAGCAAGGCCGGAGGGAGCTGCCCCTGACAGTTGTTTTGAGACGTGTCTCATCCTGCTCCCAGCAGTGGACAAGCCCAGCTCCCACCCTGTGCCTTAGCTCCAGCTATTGGGAAGATGAGCTGGGCAGGGATACAGGACTTCTGATTGATGTGTTCCCTGCTCCTGGCTGCATTAACAGCAGGCAGCAGACAGACACGAGGTGGCTACTGGCACCAGGATCAGCATCTTCACTGGCACAGGGAGCTGCTGGAGCCCTGTCCTGCTCTTCCAGGTCTCCAACTGCAAAAGCACAGGCACTGACTTGGTTGGGGTTTTCTCCTGGGGAAGCAATGACTTGCTTTCTACTTCCAGAGCACCCTGCATGTTCCATGCTCACTCCAGCAGCTCTCCATGACTCTTCCTGGGCAGGGAGAAGAGTGCTTTGATTTGATACATCAATTTGTTAAAGGCAGACACGCTCTAACAGCACAAGTCAGCCACAACCTGCCTTCACGTGGCCTCAGTAATTAGAAAGTATTGGAGTATTTTAATTTAGGGAAGGAAATTTAGTACAATCTCCATCACTTCTGATCTGAAGCTTTCAGAGCAGAGCAACTTTACCTCCTTGGGCAGTACTCATACCTATCTGTGCATGTCCCATGCTTTTCAAGAGCTGCAGTGCTGCCACGTGGCACTTGAAGCTCGTGCTCTCCCTCACTCCAAGCTGCACATTTAATTAAAGTAACTAAGAAAACATTATATACACACCAACAGCAATGGTTACCTGTGTACAAATCTTTGCCTGTAAAGCTCATGTTTCTTATCTAAGGAAGGTGAAGTCTGTTATCTCACCCTGACAACACCCACCCTGCTGTTTGAGGAGAAACTTACTCACTGGCCAGTACTGAAGGACATTTTAACAGATGAAAGAGTTATGATCCTCAGCAAATGTCTACCTGAGGCCATGGTCATGTTAAATCTAGGCCTGGAAATCTACTGTGAGGCCAAAGACCCTTCCTTAGACCTGCCATCTCATCTTTCTGACTTCATTTACTCTCTCCCAGTCTGCAATACACAGTGAGAAAAAGGATGAGGGTTTAGTTAGAACAAGTGCTTCTCAGGACATAATCCTGCTCTGATCATCAGCTCTGTACGAGACACTTACAAATTCTTCACTTGTACTTGTTAAACTATTCAGGCTTCCCCCACCTGAACATTATGTGAACAAATCTGCTCAGATACATAATTAAACAGTACAAGAGAAACTGCACTACCACCTCTAATAATCAAGTCAAGGATATCAGAAACAGACAAAACCTGAAAAAGCTGAACCTCACAGTCAGCCAGCCCCATTCACCAGGGTTAAACCAGATGACCTTCCAAGGTCCCTTCCAAATAAAACTACTCCACGAGCCCCCTGCCTTTCAAGCGACCCAGCTCACACATCCCTTGAGGTTTCCTCCGAAGCACTTACAGGCAGAGGCCGTGGTTTTTAAATAAAAGTTTAATTCCTTCATCAGGTCTTAACTTGGAACACAAATGCTGCTGGAAGTCCTCGCAGTCCTGGCTCTCGGGGCAGCAGCAGGGTGGCAGCAGGGGCTCCCGAACAGGAGGAGGAATCATGGACTCTCGGGAGAGCTCAGTGCAGGATGCAAAGCAAGGAAGCAAGAGATGCACAGTTTCCAGACAAAAACACCAATTCTTATACAAAAAAGAAAAGCCCTACACTAATAGAAGTGTTAACGTTGCCACAGGACAGGAGTTTAGGAAGGGAGAGAAGTCTTCAGTAAAAGGCACAACTAAAGAAGTACTTCCCTAGATTTTAACCAGTTCCACTTATACCCCAGCCCCCAGCCTCTCAAAGCCATGCTGGTTACTCTAGAAAGTAATTTCAAGTTCCTTCTTTTCCCTTTTTCCCTTCCTCCAGCTCAAAAACAAATAAAAGAGGAGTGCTTATAAAAAAACAAAAACAAAAACCCA